CAGAGTCAGCTTCTCTTTCTGGATAAATGATGATCTGGCATGTGATACACTAGTATCCCTAAGCAGAAGAGTCTCATTATCTCTGTGGTATTTTGGTAGATCTTCCATAGGAGGCTCCTCCAGCCTTTGGAGGAGAAATGGCTAGCAAAAAATGGAGGAGACAGAAGAATTTTTTGATTTGGGAGGATGGAATGGAGTTAGATTGATGTCCCTGGAAGAAGACTGGTCTTTATTAGTGAATTGGGTAAAGTGAAGAAGAGAGAGAGAGAAAAGACACTGTCTTCAGTGTTTCAGAGTGAACAAGATGACTTACTTTGCTTCAGTCAAAAGTTATCTGTAGGAAATGTTCAATTCAAATTTTGCAGTGTTAAAGTGAAGCTGACAAAAATCCTTTTCTTCTAATTCTCTTATTATTTTTCTTACACTGTGTTGAGTCTTCATCTCAAAAGAATAAATGATCAGATTTCAAGCAGCATAATTTTGAATCAATTCTAGGGGAAGCCAATCTAAACTGTCTACATAGTTAGACGTGGTTTGTCATAATAAGTTTGTTCCTCCACCCATGAAAGGTCTTCCGTCTCTTATCTACTGGATTAGTCACAAAGAGGAGACTAGGACATTTTACCTCAGTTTCTGTTTCCTCTTCAACACATCATCTGAATCCTGAGCTGTGACCAGATTTAAGCGTGGCCATCGGGGAGAGGGGAAGAAAAGCAAACAATCAGCATATGAGAGACACAATTTGTGCACTTGTGGTAAATCATTTTATACAAGTTATGTCCTTTATGTGATGATATCATGATCCACATATTATCATTTTTACACTATCAGGGCTTATGGGTACTCCTTATCCTAGCTAAAATAAGCCAGTGTAAACATGGGTTGTTTATATTGGTTGTTGAGGCATTCTATGTATGCAGGTGAGCATTCAAGAGAATAAGAATTCTACCTGAGCAATGATTAGTGAAGCAGGCTTTATAATTACAATAGACAGGTGATTTATTTACAGGAAATGCATTAAACGGATAAGCAAAGCCTATCACCTAGCTAACTACATCCTGTCAGGAGGAGATCAAAACAATTCTGTGGGTGTGGGTGGGTGTATACACACACAGAGAGAGAGAGAGAGAGACAAACAAACACACACACACACACACACACACACACACACACACAAAGAAAGGCAGAAGAAGGTGATTGAGATTAGCATTCTCAAAAATAAAGAGGAGAGAAATGGGCAAATAAGAACACAAAATAAATCAGTAGCTTGTTATCTACACCTTCCTGTACCTTTCTTCTCACTAGGTCATAAGGCGCTGAAGATTTGAAGTCCCAATAGATTAAATAGATCATTATTAAGATTAAGCACATTTTGCTAGGTTCACACATTGTCTTAAGCATAATGGGTTAATTTCATGCTATGTGTCAACCTTTACTATTCTGGTTTACCCTATTTGTGTACTATTACTTTACTATTTGTGGTATCTTGATTTATGGCAAGCTGAACAATCCTATATTCAAGGGTAACTATATATTCTCTGAAAAACTCTGGCATTTCTATTTTTTTGAAGAGAATCACATGAGGATTTAGAATAATCTCTAAAATACACTTGTTGCAGCTAAAATTTAAACAAGAAAATCTGACATCATAACTTAAATATGTGACATAGTTCAGCCCACTTTTCAACAATTGCCCTAACCTTTGTGTACCTTGGTTACTCAGAGAAAGACCTACAATTATTTGTAACCCTGATAATATGGCTTGTTTACCAAACCAAAGCTATGACTTATCAAAACATATGAATAGCTACACTGGATTGACATAAAATGGGGGATTGTAGCTAATCAAAACCTCAAATTGAATGCTTCTAAAGTTATTTTTGTGGTTGAACTAGAAAAGGAGGAACATATGTGTGGTTTCTTTTTTGGAAAAAAATATTTTTTTAAACAAACAAAACATAAAACATCCATCATCCATTACAATTGCAAAGTGTGTCGATCAGTTACAAATCCCTTGTGCTTCGTTTTACAAATTATCTAATTTCTCATATTATCAACCTGATATATATCTTTATATCATTATCCTCATTTGTCATTTATCTAACAATGGCGTTATCATTCCAAAGAAATTGTTTTCACATATTATATTATAACATTCATTTTATATTTCATATTTAACTTCCATGTTTTAGAATCTAGCCATTGGTAAAATAAATCCCATATCTTATAATATTGTTTATCTTCTTGTTCTCTAATTTCAAATGTCAATTTACTCATTTCAGCACATTCCATGATTTTCTTAATAACTTCATCTTGCGTTGGTATTTTCCCATTTTTCCAATTTTTAGCAAACACAATTCTAGCCTCTGTCAATACATTCACAATCAAATATCTCAATTCTCTCTTGTATGTTTCTGGCACAATTCCTAATAAAAAAATCTCTGGTTTAAAGTCTATGTATTTTTTTGGCATTTTCTCCAACCATGTGTGGATTTTAGTCCAGTATCTTTTAGCTTCTACACATGTCCACCACATATTATAATATGAGCCTGGTGTCTGATGACATTTCCAACACTTTTCAGATTTCTTCTTGAACATTCTGGCTATTCTCATCGGGGGTAGATGCCACCTGTAAAATATCTTATACAAATTTTCCTTATATGCTGTTGACATTGTCATTTTATAATTTTGCAACCACGGTTTTTGCCATTTCTCTAAGTCAATTCCATAACCAAAAATTTTCCCCCATGCTATCATTGTTTCTTTAACTTGTTCTTCCAATTTTACCTCTAGTAAATAACCATATAATTTTTTAATAACATAGTCATCAGAACTTGTTAAAATTTTATCTAAATTAGTCAAAGTATTGTAAAAAGCTTCTGTCTTGCAATCTTCATCATATCTAGAACGTATTTGCAAATAAGAAAACCAATTCATCTTTAAACCTTGTTCTTCCAGATCTTGCTTCAATTTAAGTTCACCCTTTTCATCCAATAGTTCACTATATCTAACAATTTGTTCCTTTCTAAATGTTATTGAATATGAAAACGCTTCAATCATGGATACCCAGACTGGAATTTTCAAATAATGTTGTTTTTTTACCTTCTCCCAGTTTAATAACAAAGCATCTTGTATGAAATGTCTTCTAAAATACCCCTGTGTTTTTGTTCCCTTGTACCATAAAAAAGTGTGCCACCCCAACAACAAGTCATGTCCTTCTAAAGTCAATAATCTAGTATTTCTTAACATTATCCATTCTTTAATCCACATCAAACTTGTCGCTTGATAGTAAAGTTCCCAATTAGGTAAACCAAAACCCTCTCTCATTCTGGCATCTTGTAACCACCTTTATTTTATTTTATTTTATTTTATTTTATTTTATTTTATTTTATTTTATTTTATTTTATTTTATTTTATTTTATTTATTTATTTATTTATTTATTTATTTTATTTCTATACCGCCTTTCTCCTGTAGGACTCAAGGCGGTGTACAGTCAAGAAAAATATAGACACACAAACATCATAAAATTGCTAATTAAAATTATTACTTAGTTTGGTCAATTAAATAAAACCCAGAATTAGATAACATTTAAAAAATCATTCACATGTTTGTATGTTTAGCCCCGCCTGTTGGAACATCAGGGTCTTGAGGGCACGGCGGAAAGCACGAAGATCAGGGATATTCTGTATCTCCGGAAGCAGTTCATTCCAAAGGGTTGGAGCCCCCACAGAGAAGGCCCTCCCCCTGGGAGTCGCCAGTCGACATAATTTGACTGACGGTACCCTGAGTAGTCCCTCCCTGTGAGAACGAACTGGTCGGTGGGAGGCTATTGGTGGCAAAAGACGGTCTCGTAGGTATCCAGGTCCTAAGCCATGGAGCACTTTAAAGGTGATAACTAACACCTTGAATCGCACCCGGAAGACCACCGGGAGCCAGTGCAGCTCGCGTAGGAGAGGTGTTACATGGGCGTAACGAGCTGCGCCCATAATCACCCGCACGGCTACGTTCTGGACCAGTTGGAGCCTCCAGGTGCTTTTCAAGGGGGGCCCCATGTAGAGAGCATTACAGTAGTCCATACGGGATGTAACTAGGGCATGAGTGACCATGCGCAAGGCGTCCCGATCCAGAAAGGGATGCAACTGGCAGATCAGGCGAACCTGATAAAAGGCACCCCTGGCCACGGCCATCAAATGATCTTCTAAAGATAACCGTGAATCCAGGAGGACACCCAAGTTGCGGGCCCTCTCTGTGGGGAGCAAGATTTCATCCCCTATTGTCAGTGTATTATCCTCGCCTTTTTTCCCTGCCAAATATATTTTAACACTATCTTATTCAATTCTTCAAAATGATCTTTTCCCAATCTCATTTGTTAAAGATGGACGGATCTAACCCAATAACTCACAGGAGACAATGGAATCTCTTCATTGACTCTTTATTCTAGGCCTGGAGTCCTCCTAGGCCCAATTCAGGGTAAAGGTCACTGACCTCTGTCTTGTCTTTGCAGGTACACATCTGGAACTGCTGGGAGCCCACGTGTAGGACCCTTTTATATACCAGCGGAGGAGTCTGAGGTAAGGGGGTATGATGGGATATGGGGAGGTGCCAGCCCCTGCCTGGAAGAATTAGATATTTACCCTGACAAATCCCCCTCTAAATGTCTAATTAACGGCGGACATATGACATCTGTGAACATACATGTTAGGTACATAAAACACATGATCTACATATATACACATATTTTTGATGTGAGATATGCGTGTTGCTTTTGAGGTAGTGGCTTTGTAAGTATGTCTGCTGTTTGTTGTTCAGTGTCACAGTATATGGCTTTAATGAACCCCATTTCTGAGAATTGCCTAACGTGTTTGTATTTTATGTCTATGTGCCTTGATCTCTGTCCCACGGCATCTGCTTTTGATATTTCTATAGCTGCCTTGTTGTCTTCATGTATGACTATGGGGTATGTTGGTTCGGCCCAGATGTCAGTAAGTAAATCATCAAATCACACTAGGTTATTTGCGGCTTTTGATAAACAGACGAATTCGGCTTCGGTGGTAGAAGTGGCCACCAGCTTCTCTTTTCCTGTATACCAATGTATAGGGCAATTGTTTAAGAATTGTACATACCCGGAAGTGCTTTTTCTGCTTTTGGCATCCCTGGCCCAGTCAGCGACTGTATAGCAGGTTAACTTGGGTTTCTCAGACAGGTCTGGTTCAAGGCACAGCTGGGCATTGGCACTGTGTTTCAGGTACCTGAGCAGTCTTTTTATGGCATCCCAATGCAAGAAAGTGGGCTTGCTCACGTGTCTGGACAGTAGATTGACAGCCAGAGCAATGTCAGGCCTCGTCCAGTTGGCAATGTAGAGTAGCGAGCCTTTTGTTGACCTGTACAGCTTGTTGTCAATGAAGGGTTCAGCTTCATTGTACATGCTCCTTATGAAGTCCAGTTGCATGGATGTCTCACAGGGTTTTGCCCCTGACATGTTGCATTTGGATAACAGTTCCATGATTTTCTCTCTTTATGAGATCCGGAAGCCCTTGTCAGTTTTAATTACTTGCACTCCTAGGTACTTGTCTATCTTCCCTAGTGACTTCAGAGAGAAATGATTTCCTAACTCGGTGGCAAATTTATCGCATTTGGTCCTTTGCTTCCCTATGTACAATATATCATCCATATACACAAGAACGCCTTCGAATGCTCCTCCCTCTCTCTTTGTGAAAAAAAAATTGTCTCCAGAGGTGGCTTTGAAGCCCATGATGTTGAGAGCTTTGGCTAGACAGTCGTACCACCTCTTGCCAGACTGTTTGAGTCCATATAAATTTTTGTTCAGAAGCCATGTGTTGTCCTTCCCATCATTGTATCCTGGTGGGGCCTTAACATAGATTTTCTTATCCAATTCTGCGTGTAGATATGTGGTTTGCACATCGAATTGGAATACTTCCAGCCCTAGGATGGTGGCAATTACTAGGGTGCTCTTGACATTCTCAGCCCTGATTGTGGGGGAGTAGGTGTCCGTGTAGTCTTCCGGGTACCTTTGGACAAAGCCTTGTGCGACCAACCTTGCTTTATAGAGTGCTTTGTTGTCTTCGAGTGTTTTGACTTTAAACACCCACTTGGTCCCAATTGGCTTTTTGTTCTCAAGTACTTGAGCTGGCGAGTATACCTGTAGGTCTCGGAGGCTTTCCATCTCCTTTTCCATGACTTGTTTCCACCTTTCCCTCTCTTCCTGGGGGAGGCCAAGTATCTCTTCGTAGGAACTGGGTGTGAAATGCTCTGTGTGTATGGACATGACGTAGTCCTCTAGTCTCTTTGGTAACTTGTTCCTACTGGATCTAGTTGGTCTGTCTGGAGGCATATCTGCTTCATGCAGGCATTCGGCTTCTTTTTCGGTGAGGCTATCTACGTTCAGTGTGGGGTGTCCTTCTTTCCATTCCTCGGCTTTCAGTTCTTGGTGTTTGGGTCTGTCTGTTTCAGTTTCCTCTGGCCTCCTGGTGGTCAGTTCTTTGTCACTTTGGTTATGTGGTTGCATGTCTCTGCCAAGGAAAATGTCATTGCAGTGGAGCTTTGACCAATTCGAGTGCTCATGGAATTCCGCAGACCTGGATACAATGAATTTGTTATTGCAGTCCACAAATCTGAATCCCTTTGTCCCAGGCTCATAGCCCACGAACCTTAGTCTTTTTGACACCTTTTCTCCCTTCTTCCTTAGCTGTCGGGGAATTTGGACATCAGCTGGGGCACCAAATACGTGTAGGTGGGGTAGATTGGGTTTTCTATTGTATATTAGTTCGTATGGGGTTTTATTGATTGAGCTTGACCACAACCTGTTTAGTGTGTAATTTGAATAGTGAAATGCCTCTGACCAGAATGATTGGTTCATTCCAGCATCCTCCAAAACACACCTCATCATTGTTTGGAGTAGGCCGTTTTTTCGTTCTGAGATCCCATTCTGAAATGGGGAAAAAGGGGTGGAGCTAAAATGCAATATGCCCCTCTCCCTTAACCATTTTGCAAAGTCCTTGGCCATGAATTCTGTACCCCGGTCAGTCATTATCTGTTTGATTCTTGCCCCAGTTGCAGTTCCACCCTTTTATAAAAGTCTTTGAACCTTTGGAATGTCTCATTTTTATGCTTGAGAGAATACACATAGCCATACCTTCTGTAGTCGTCTACTATGGTTAGGAAAAACCTTTTCCTGTGTCCAATGGAAGGTCTCAGTGGTCCCACTAAATCCATGTGTACTAGCTGAAATGGGTGGTCAGTTGTGCGCTCTGACCTTTTGGGCCTCGCTTTGACCTTAATTTTCGAAGATTTACACACTGAACACTCCAAATAATTTTTGCAGTCCTTTACTTTCAAACCCTCTGTACATCCTAGCATTTTTTCTACAACCGGGAAACTGATATGTCCTAGCCTTCTGTGAAGGAGGTGGGCACAATTGTCGTGGATGGGTTTTCCCGCGGATAGCTTGTTTTTGCCTGGTGACACAATGTTTGTTTCCCCCTGGGGTCCCCCTCTAGTTTCAGTGTCTCCCCCCTGCTCATGGGTGATGCTTGTGTTTATACTTCCCTCGCTGCTCTCACTGGGTGTAAAGTACGGTAGTCCATCATGTGTGGTTACCTTGCCAATCCTTTTTCCTTGGTTGAGTATCTGTACCCTGCCTTCCTTGAATGTTACCTCTGTGTCTGTGTCTGTTGTGAGCTTTGTGATGGCTAAGACATTGTGGGGTATCTCTGGTATGTACAATACCCCCTCTATTTTCCCAACCCCTGGTATATGTACATCCCCTCTCCCTATGACCTTGGCTGTGCTCTGGTTAGCCATTCTGATCTTGAAGTCTGTCTCTACGAGGGAGGTGAATAGATTGGGGTTGTGTGTTGTATGATTAGTGGCTCCTGAATCCAGAAGCCACATGTTTTCATCTGTCCCCTGCTTGGGGTCTGCTTTACCATGCCTGAAGCCGTACATGGTCCCTGGGTTGCTATCTCTGGAAGCATCCCTGCGTTCAATGTTTTTTCTAGGATTGGGTGACCACCCACATCCCCATTCCCTGAAATGTCTGCGGTCTGGTGACCGTCTCTCTCTATATCCCCTGTCCCTATCACCTCTGGGGCAATCCCTCCTTAAATGATTCCTGGACTCACAGGAAAAACACTCTGGGGCAACCTTTCCCTGTCCTGGAACTCAACCCTTTTGGTGGGTCTGGGGTCCCTTCTTGACATGTGGCGGTCCCTCCTTAAATTATCCTCTGCAATAAGGTGGTTAGTGAGTGTGTCTAATGTTAAGTGTTCTAGACTAATTGGCTGTCCAATTGCATCACAAAGTTGTCCCAGCTATTGTCTAAAGAGTTTATGACTATACTCATCATACTGTCCTCAGTGATTGCTTCACCCCTATGCATTAATTCAGTCCTGGTTGCGTTAAGTTTTAACAGGTGTTCACTCATGGGGACTCCTGGTCTAAGTCTGGCAGAATGGAATTCTCTGGAAATCCTAGTTGTAGTTGCTCTACTTCTGCTGTAAAAAAGGTTATAAGTTTTTGTATCACTTTGTGCACTGTCATGTGATTCCCTATGCTTGGGTACATAGTTGGAGAAATACTGGTTAACAAAATACAAAAAGCCCTGTGGTGGTTACAGTCAATTTCAAAAGTCCAGGGTTTCTGGGGTGGGTCTGATATTAGGAAAAGTAAGTTTTCTTTCATAAAAACTATCTGCAGCTGCTGACTCCACTCTAGAAGATTTTTTTCATCTATTTGTAGTTTGGGAAAATTGACAGGTAAAGCCCCAGAATTGTTAGAATGGTTACTTACAGAGGGTAGCTGTCCATGATTTTGTAAGTGAGGGAACTCACAATAAGGAACGGGTATGCATGTTGTTACTCTGTATTGATGTGTCTCTATGTTTCCTCCCTCTCTCTCTGTAGGTGGAAACTGGGCATGCGCGAGGCTCATTTGTCTCTGGAAGTCGTCTGGTGAGGAGCGTGGCTCCTAGGCCCAGGCCTAGGTCAGCCAGGTGGGTGCTGGACTCACCCTTGGTCTGCCTGGGTCCCTCGCTGGGCATCGTGGATCGCTGCTGGGCGGCTGGATCCCTGGCGGACATCGATGGAGGCTACGGAGGCCTTGCAGTGAGTAGCTGGGTTAATTTTCTTCTCTCGGGTCCCATTCCGGCAGTAGGAAGGGTGGCAGGTTTGAATCCTGACGTGAGGTCTGTCCATAGGCGGTCGATGCCTCGTGTCCATCGTGCAGATGTGTTCCTCTTCTGGTGGGCGGCAGGATCGGTGTTGTGGCTTCGGCGGCAGGCCTGAGATCTCCCTGGTTGCTGGAGGCCTCCCTGCGGTCTGCGGCTGGTGTGAGAGGCCTGAAAGCAGGGCCGAATGCTGCCACTAGGGTCTCCATGGCCTTTTCTATTTCAAGCTCGGTAGGCGAGCTCCTGTTGTATTGAGTCTGTTCCCCATAGCTATTTTCGGGGTGCCCCTCATTCGTTTCAGAGTTTTGGCTGGTTCCCGCCATTGGATTCAAATCCCAGCCTCCTATTGGTTGCTGGCCATTCCAAGATGGCCACTGGGAAATTGGCACGAAACTGAGCCCCTCTTTGTCCGGGGCCTCTGCGAGGGAATCCCTTTCCCTTACCGGGCTGGCGTCTTCTTGGGTCTGTTGTTGGTGCTCATCGCTGCTCTATGGGTTTCTAGGAGGCCTTGGAGTTTCGTGATGAGCTCTCCATTGCTGATGGGCGCTTCCATCATTTTCAGCAGGGCCATTCTCAGTTCGTCTTCTTCTTGTGGCTCTTCTCTGTCATGGTCATCTGCTTCCCCCCGTGGTCTCTCTTTACAGAGGAGTGGGTCCGGCTCGATGTCTTGTCCACTTTCAGCTGGGGTGGCTCTTGGCATGGCACCTTTGGGTGTCAGTTGAGCAGCCATCCTCTTGGTGAATGCTCTGGTGTTTACTCTGCTCTTTTTATCAGAGTAAGCGGCTTGTTCAGTCATTCTCTAGAGTTATGGGTAACCATCCTCTGCTACCATCTTGTTAAAGCTGGATGGATCTAACCCAATAACTCACAGGAGACAATGGAATCTCTTCATTGACTCTTTATTCTAGGTCTGGAGTCCTCCTAGGCCCAATTCAGGGTAAAGGTCACTGACCTCTGTCTTGTCTTTGCAGGTACACATCTGGAACTGCTGGGAGCCCATGTGTAGGACCCTTTTATACACCAGAGGAGGAGTCTGAGGTAAGAGGATATGATGGGATATGGGAAGGTGCCAGCCCCTGCCTGGGAGAATTAGACATTTACCCTGGCATAATTGGAATTGTCTGAAACAAATATAAAATTCTAGGCAATATATTCATCTTAATAGTTGATATCCTCCCTATCAATTATAATTGTAAATTTTCCCATTTCGCCAAGTCTGTTCCAATCTATTGTTTGAGTTTATTATAGTTATTCTCTTTAGGTGTGCTACATCTTTCTGTCAAATATATCCCCAA